TAGTTACTAGCGTTGATTTAATCCTATTTTTATTGCAGAAATAGCGTTTCTGACATCCTTCTCTTTTATAAAACTTTTAGATAGTTTTTTACTGCTATCATATTGATCAAGAGGTCAATAAAAACTGAGATGTAGCTAACAAGAAGTTAACAAAAATTTAGAGCTTTACAGTTTACAAAATGCCGCAAAGGTTAATGTTAGCTTCATTTATCGTGATGTTGGCGTCTTAGGTGAGCAACAGAACATAAAACAAGGAGTAATAACCAAATGGAAAAATAAAAAGAATGTTCTGTTCATTCTGATCTACTTTGCATCCGTTACGTTTCTTCCAGGATCATATAAAGAGAAACTTTTAAAGTGGTGCGCATTGAGAGTCAAGAAAATGATGGCCTCCAGGAATGATATTGGACCAAGACAAACGGTTTTATTTCTTTCTACAAACAATTTAATATAAACCTTGAAAAATAAACTATAATAGGTCACTAGAGGTGGTAAAACTAAGCTGGAAATTAAAATCAATGTACATGTGCTCTTTCGGTTTCAGTAAAGTATAAAAGAGAAGAGAACCAGTGTATAATCGCATTATGGGTTATTTGTTCTTAGTATTTATTTGCTCGTCTAATAGGGAGCACGATTCAGTATTTTTGAGTGATGACTTTCGAATGTCCTGTATGCACACCGTGTTGTAAGCACAATATCTTGGGAGACCGGGACAACATAAATACACATTTAGTTTAAGGGTACGTCAATGTGATACACAATATCCTCGGAAACCCAGGACAGCTACTTCAAAAGGAGAGAATATCTAACAAGAACGGGAAATTTACTCTACCATTTTCCCTATCTTTAATCTCTTATCTTATCTGTGTTTAGAAAAATTTTTAGAACTATCCTGAAGTCTTCTACCATCATCTAAGCTTCTATATTGGCCCTTTGTTAAACTCTTCGTCGTCACCAGAAAGAATTCCATAAAAGTCAATCATCGATTTGCATTTGCGTAAGCTTCTCTGCAGCTAGTAATCGTTCGCGTTTCGAAAATGCGGGTGACTGTTCATAGCAGTTAAACAAAAAATCAAAGAGAAAGCTTTACATCAAATAAAACTGAAATTTACTAATTAGAGGAGAGAATCACACGCTTACGAGGTCAACTCGGTAAGGTAAATTGTTTACTATACTAAAATGATCTAAACGTTAAGGAAATTCCACGGTCAAAAGCAATTCGAAGGTTTCTCACTGACAAAATCACGACCGCGAAAGATTCAGATATTCTCCCTGCACTTTCGTACACGTAAGGACAAGGCGTAGTGGGAAAGCTGGGTGGCCGTCTTTCAAGTTTTAAACTGACTTCAATCCGTTTCATAAATCCTCTCAAAAGTTGCCCATTAGCGCCCCTTCGATGCTTAACGACAAAATATTTCAGTCAGTTACATGACCCATTGGCAAGCGCTGAAATTGTCCGAAGTGGTTTAAACTGAAGAAAGAAAAACAGGCAAAGAACAAAAGTTTTTACTATTCGGCTGGCGAACAGGCTGCGACGGGTCGAGCACATTCAAAGTAGCGGTTGAAGTTGTTCGCCTTAATAGAAAATGACGTAGCAGATACGCTATCTAATACGCTGATTTAAACCACCCAGCACGAGTGAATGCGATTTTAATCTTTGCTGGTTTCAGTCTCCGTTGCCGTTCATTTTTTTCTTCTTGACATAGAAAGTGATGAAGATGGCTTAACTGTTTTGTTTAAAATATCAATTCAATTTTCCGATTCGCATTTTTTGAGCAGTTTGTTTGTATGTATCGCATATCGATGCGGGGCTTTGTAACATAACAGTTAAGGTCTAGTAAATGCCTTTAAATGTATTATAACATTTAATGACAGCTCTTGACGGGTCAGCAAATTAGCCAATCGGAGACTGCATATTATTGGCGGGGAATCCCCTAATAAAAACGAGGCCTTCTAGGTTGTTTTCTATTTACATGAGGAAACCGGTCGCTTCACGGTTTGGTCAAATGGAAAGCAAAACTCAGTACTTGAAAATTTCATCACGGAATCGCGTTTACCGTTTGCACAAATTAGTTTCATTTACCGGCGAAACTGCCGCGAAAACGAGAAAATAAAAGAAACAAAACAAAGCTTTACTAACATGAATAAAGTGAATGAAATTTTATTATAGGTGAAAGTACGAAGCTAATCACAAGCTTACTGGTTCAAACTGATAATTTTTGGAGTACTGCCCAACTGGTTTTAAAATTGTTTAGCAAATGAAAATAAACTGAAGCAAATGGCACAGGCAAAGTAAAAGACTTCTCACTGACAAAATCACGGCCGCGTCAAAGATTTTCTCTGCATAGACAATGACACCTGTAAAACACTGGGACGCGCGTGTTGCCCTTCGCGCCTTTAAATGCTTAAAGAGATTTCAGGCGATTTTATTACAGTGAAACCTCTATTAAGAGGACACCTTCCGGACTTTCCCAAGTGTCCTCTTAATAGAGGGTGTCCGCTCAATAGAGGTCTGTAAAAATTGTGCAATGTTTGTTAATGATTAACATTCAACGATTACTCTGAACTATGATAAAATTCCATGTTGTTAAGGAAGTTAAGGAAGCTAAGGAAGCTGTGCTGTACTTTGTACAAGACGTTTAGGTGACATTTTGACTGAGGACTGATCATAGACATAAGAAAGACATATGAAGTACTTCAGTAAGGAATTATAAACTCATCAATAATCGCTACAGAATTGTTAATGCATTCAGGGACGTCTAGCTTTTAATAAAATTTAGCACCTTTATGAAAAAATTTTAGAGTGAAATTGACATTAACTGAATGGAAAAGAAAAACGATTGTGTTAGTGACAATGCACCACTAGTCACATGCTGAGCTATAAATAACAAGTCAGGATTGAGGGTGAACGCACTAATAATTATAACGAGTGTATCCTATAAGATGCACAGCAACACGCCACAGAGCCACTTCGTGTGCCGGCTTATAAGAGATCATAACCTGAATAGAATGTTTTCTGAGTCCGAGTTGGCCTTCTTGGCCTTCTTGGCCTTCCTGGTCTTTGTTTCCTTTGTCATCGTTTTCCTAGGCTGCATAATGCTGGGAAGAGGACGAGTTGATAGTTCAGCAGGAAGAAGACCAGATGAGAAGAAAATTAAAAGAGTGACATGCTACTATTGTCGTGACAATCGGCACAAGAAAAGGCGAGGACCAGAGGAAAACGACGACGACGAACCTTACAATCGTCGCGGCACATTATTCAGGTGCGATTACAGTTTTGACGTTATAACTTCTAATTACTGCATTCATATCTTTCAACTTGTAGTTTTACAAATAGTTGTATTAACGTCTGTGAGAATGACGTTAACGAATGAGCAAAATGTTAGCGCGCATTATATGCCAAACCATTGAATGAGAGGTTAATTATTCTACTGCAAAAAAAAAAAATATATTTTGGCTTCTATTTTCGATTTTATTTTTGTCCGCCGGTTCGTCCATTTCAGCCATAGTTGCTCCTTTTGCATCCGCCGGTATTCGCCCTGTTGTAAAACCGTTAAACCAGGACACTAAAGTGTAGTAGAAGACTTACTATTACATTTTTTTGGGATAGTTGTGAATGGTGGAACGTACTATACGCGCTATATTATATTCTTTGGCATGTGAGGTTTTCCTTTCCTTCTACGTTTAATTTGTTACTTTCTTGGCTCTCTTATCCGGCTAAATGAAAACAATCAGTTTTTCCGAGACGTTTTATTTGTCTGATTTTGTCTTTTGGGGATTTTGAATTTAAGTGTTCGTCCATTTTTCTTAAGAATTTCTTTCTCTGAAAAGATAAAATAGTTTTTTTTCCTTTCAAGAAAATTCCAGTAACAAAAATACCCGAATGATGCTTCATGCCTTTACCTCACTAAAATGCTCGAAAACAAAAGGTTAGGATAATGGTCGAAAGCCTATCGCTTTTTTAACCTCACCATGTTTCTTAAGGCAGTGATAATAAATTTCCGAAGATGTACAATACATGATATATTGTGTATACTGTATATTGTTGAGGTTTTTTTTAAAAAAAAAATGCAAATTGAACGAGAAAAGACGTAGGTTTTCTGTCTAGTCGCGGGAATCAGATGTTTAAGTAATTACATCAGTTTCTGCGTGACAGGTGGGACTCATCAACACTGCGATCTCCTTCACGGACAATCAGTTCGGACATGTGGCGCGTTTTAAAAATCTTTCGACTTGTTTCCTGTACACTCTTTTTTCTTTTTTATAAGAATATATTTTTTAAGAATACCGAGGCTGAAATTTGCGAAATTTTAAGAATATTTTAAGAATAAAGCCGAGGCTGAGATTTTGAAAAGGATAGATATAATTTTGTGTGTTGAAACATCTGTAAATACAATACAATTTTATGTTTTTAACTTAACCGTATAAAATTATTCCTTTCTCTGAACGGCGAAACTAGCCAACAAAACGAAAAAACCTGCACTAGCTATAGCAAAATGTTCAACGCTAATGACAGTTCGATGAACGGTACATGTAATACATATGTACAGTATTCAGCACAGATCTAGATACCAAACACACTTGTAATTGATACCCCAATATATTCTAAAACGGAAATGTCATTAGCTATAATTTAAGAATAATACAAGAATATTTTCAGCCTAAAATCGGCAGAAAAATAAGAATATTCAGCGTGGGCCGAAAAAACAACATTCTTATAAAAAAAAAAAAAAAGAGTGTACTCGTTGAATTAAACCAGCGACTCAACAATCGACATGATTGGCTGCTCCCGTTTGTTTGTTCATTGCCTGAAACATGACACACACCCGTAGCCAATGCCTCAGAACCAAACAAACGGGAGCAGCCAATCATGTCGATTGTTTGAGTTTAATTCAACGAGTACAGGACACAAGTCGAAAGATTTTTTAAACGCGACACATGTCCGAGCTGATTGTCCGTGAAGGAGCTCGCTTTTATCGAAGAGAAATCAAGAAGACTGAATGTTTTCTGAGTCAAAGCTGGCCTTCTTTTTGGCCTTTCTTTTCATCTTAATACTTGGCTGTTTAATCAGGCTGGGAAGAAGACGAAGAGATAATCTCACTGCAACACAACACCCATATAAGATTGAGTGCGAAAGAATAACATGTAACCACTGCCCAGAAAGCGATCAGGACAAGAAACAGCGGCCCCCAGAAGAGAACGATGACAACGGACCTCATAACAGTCGTGGCACTTTGTTCAGGTAGGATTTCTATAGTTACTAGCGTTGATTTAATCCTATTTTTATTACAGAAATAGCGTCTCTGACATCCTTCTCTTTTGTAAAAATTTTAGATAGTTTTTTTACTGCTATCATATTGATCAAGTGGTCAATAAAAACTGAGATGTAGCTAACAAGTTAACAAAAATTTAGAGCTTTACAGTTAACAACATGCCGCAAAGGTTAATGTTAGCTTCATTTATCGTGATGTTGGCGTCTTAGGTGAGCAACAGAACATAAAACAAGGAGTAATAACCAAATAGAAAAATAAAAAGAATGTTCTGTTCGTTCTGATCTACTTTGCATTCGTTACGTTTCTTCCAGGATCATATAAGAAAGAGAGAAAGAGACGGCCTCCAAGAATGATATTGGACCAAGACAAACGGTTTTATTTCTTTCTACAAACAATTTAATATAAAGCTTGAACAATAAACTATAATAGGTCACTAGAGGTGGTAAAACTAAGCTGAAAAATTAAAATTAATGTGCTCTTTCGTTTTCAGTAAAGTATAAAAAAGAAGGGAACCAGTGTACAATCGCATTATGGGCTATTTCTACTCAGTATTTATTTCCTCCTTTAATAGGGAACACAATTCTTGATTGAAGTTTAAACAAAACAGCATTTTGAGTGATGACTTTCGAATGTCCTGTCTTGTAAGGAAATAAAGGCACGCCTTAGATTATGCCCATCGTGTTGTAAGCACAATATCTTGGGAGACCCAGAACAACATAAATACACTACTAGTTTAAGGGTACGTCAATGTGATACACAATATCCTCGGAAACCCAGGACAGCTACTTGAAAAGGAGAGAATATTTAAGAAGAACTGGAGATTCACTCTACCATTTTCCCTGTCTTTAATCTCTTATCTTATCTGTGTTTAGAATAATTTTTTAGAACTATCCTGAAGTCTTCTGCCATCATCTAAGCTTCTATATTGGCCCTTTGTTAAACTCCTCATCGTCACCAGAAAGAATTCCATAAAAGTCAATCATCGATTTGCATTAGTAATCGTTCGCGTTTCGAACGTTATTCTTGAAAATGCGGGTGACTGTTCATAGCAGTTAAACAAAAAATCAAAGAGAAAGCTTTACATCAAATAAAACTGAAATTTACTGATTAGAGGAGAGAATCACACGCTTACTACCCTGCGAGCAGTGGTTTCTCCAGGCTGCTCGCAGGGTACACGCTTACGTGTCAACTCCGTAAGGTAAATTGTTTATTATATTAAAATGATCTAAACGTTAAGGAAATTCCACGGTCAAAAGCAATACGAAGGTTTCTCACTGACAAAATCACGACCGCGAAAGATTCAGATATTCTCCCTGCACTTTCCTACACCTAAGGACACGGCCTAGTGGGAAAGCTAGGTGGCCGTCCTTCAAGTTTTAAATTGACTTCAATCCGTTTCATAAATTCTCTCAAGTGTTGCCCATTAGCGCCCCCTTCGGTGACAAAGAACAAGTGTTTTTACTATTCGGCTTACGAACAGGCTACAACAGGGTCGAGCACATTCAAAGTAGTGATTGAAGTTGTTCTCCTTAATAGAAAATGACGTAGCAGATACGCTATCTAATACGCTAATTTAAACCACCCAGCACGAGTGAATGCGATGTTAATTTTTGCTGGTTTCACTCTCCGTTATGAAGATGGCTTAACTGTTTTGTTTAAGATGTCAATTCAATTTTCCGATTCGCATGTTTTGAGCAGTTTGTTTGTATGTATGGCATATCGATGCGGGCCTTGTAACATAACAGTAAGGGCCTAGTGAATGAATTAAAAAATGCATTATTAACATTTAATGACAGCTCTTGACGGGTCAGTAAATTATCCAATCAGAGACTGTATATTTTTGGCGGGGAATCCCCTAATAAAATTGAGGCCTTCTAGGTTGTTTTCTATTCACATGGGCAAACCGGTCGCTTCACGGTTTGGTCAAATGGAAAGCAAAACTCAGTACTTGAAAATTTCATTACGGAATCGCGTTTACCATTTGCACAAATTAGTTTCATGTACCGAAAACTGCCGCGAAAACGAGACAAAACAAAACAAAGCTTTACATTAAATAAACTGACTGAAATTTTATTAGAGGTGAAAGTGCGACTAAGTACATCACAAGCTTACTGGGTCAAACCGAGAATTTTTGGAGTACTTCCCGACTGGTTTTAATATTGTTTAGCAAATGAAAATGGCACAAGCAAAATAAAAGATTTCTCACTGACAACATCACGGCCGCGTAATATTAAAAAAATTTCCCCTTCATACCTGTAAAATACTGGGACGTGCGTGTTGCCCTTCGCGCCGTTAAATGCTTTAAGACATATTTCAGGCAATTTTATTCATCTGTTGGCAAGGGCCGAAAATGATGGTCTCAACGTGGCCAAGCTGACCTTTAGTACTGACCATATACATTAAAAAGACACACAAGTACTTCAGTAAGAAATTATATGGGAATCAACTCTTCAATGACTGTTTTCATCATTACACTTGACTGTCTAATATTGGGAACAAGACGAAGCGACAGTCCTCCAGTGAGAAGGCCAAACAAGAGGAAACGCAAACGAGTAAAATGCAACCCTTGCAGTCTAAACGGTCAGAACAAGAACAAGCGACCCCCAGAGGAAAACTATGACGACGAAACTTATAACAGTCGTGACACTTTATTCAGGTAGGATTTTTAAAGTTAATGGGGTAACCAACATTCTCCTCTTTTGCAAAAATTTAAACTTCTTATTGTAGCTAGCAACAGGTTAACCGATAAGATATGGAGCTGTACACCAGTCAGAAAAAAAATACCAGAGGGTTCATGTTCGTGATACACAAAGACTAACCAAGAAAAAAAATAAAGAGGTAAATTGTTCGAGGCGATGATTCTTATTTGAAGCTACTTAAGCGTCTACATTTACATGTATATTATGTACATCTACATATATTAGGTCGGTAAAAATCGCTAAGACATCACACCAACCGTAAAATAATATAAAATAATGTCCTCAGGGAGGCAGTCTCAGTGAGCTATAGTTCTCTTGCATATGGCGCGCGAATTTAAAATGAATGGTTTCCCCTCGTGCGACTCTCGCAGTGCTGAATTAAATATTTTCGGCTATCTATATCAGTAAGAGCATGATTTAATTTATACATAAGAGTTAACGTAAACTGTCTGCTTCTTATTTCTAGCGTATCCCACCCTAACTCTTTAATCTCAGCGTCGCTATTGCATAACAAGTCTTGAATGGAAATAAAAAGAGTTAAAGGGGCACCTAAGATTATTCATTCAGAATAATAAAACAAAAAAGCAAACCGGCTTTTAGGTGATCAATGTGAAGCAGAAAATGCTATGAGACACAAAACAACGTATTAATAACCGATCAGCTTTATGGTATATAACCAACAAAACATAAACGCACAATCAGTTTAAAGGTATCTCAATGTGAAACACAATATTGTAGGAGACTCAGGAAAACACAAATGCATAATCAGCCTTTACTGAAAATGATAAATTATGTGTCTGTGAAACACAATACTGTAGGAAAACCAGCACAACATATATCAAACTTTCGTACACCTAATATATAGATTTAGCCAGGGCTAAAAGCGAAGCTCCCGTTAATAAATTCATAATTTAAATCAAACAATAAACTTGTAATCCACAGATCAGGGCACATTCATTTGACGTTTGAGGCAAAGGCTAAGTGATTTTAGAGAAAAATAATTTGACAGTCCAGGAGTGAAACAGCTTTTACATCGAGTTATTAAATAGTCTTATTTGTACACCCAAAAATAGCAATCACGTTCGATCACAGTAGATTAGGCCTGGAAAACAAATAGACCTACCTATTCGTGTATTGTATATGCATTAGCTGTTGCATCAGAATGTGGCATTGATCACCACTCTCTCCAACATTGCTCCGTTTGAGAGACTATGGATAATTGGACAACCCCGAAATATAATTTTAAGAAACACACGCGCCACGATAGTCCTTGGTGGCAGCCAATTTACACGTTGCATTCCTCTGTCTAAAAGAGAGGCCAAAATAAAAAATCAGGCCGGATTTTTTTGTGTTCGACAAGTTTAGTTTACTAGTAAATCTTGGCGACGAATCTGGTGGCGTGTAAACCAGCCTTTTAAACATACTTTTTCTCATCACGTCTCAGGTAAACAGTACTATTGAGGCCCTTGTTTTTATCATACAGACCTCGGACAGAATTT